CGAGAGGGGACAACAAAAGAATGTTTTAAAGATGAAAAAGAGACAGATATAAATGTAGAAAAAGGTTAGGTGAGTGCTGTGCAAGTAGTCGAATATGACATACACTGGGGTGATGGTAGTTTGACGCCAGTAGTCAACTACCGGTTAATGGACTTTTTTGCCGTATGAGTATACGTTGCCCAGGGTGCACCACGTGGAGGTAGTCTATCGCACACCCCTACTCCAATAATAGTACAACCCGGAAAGTAAGCTTTTTGCTTACAATTGAGTACACATTTGAGATATGGTCTGTCAAGGTGAATATAGGTGTATTTAAAACATATTTCATTTCTAATAACAATTATTATTATAATCCCAGCTCATATCTACTTCTCATTATTATTATTATTTTCATTTAATTGTTTTATTTACTGACAAAGAACTCGAAAACTATAGATAATTCAAATTTAACTGCGATACGTTTTCCCGTAACAAGGAGATTATTGACCATCTATTCTCAATGAACGGAACAATGAATTAAGGAAGGAAGGACTGAAATAGTCCTAATAAAACGAGGTATTAAGATCTTCCCTTTGCTGAATAAACATATTCGATGTTTAAACGAAGTGATAGGTTGCATGATATGATTTGAATTGGTCAATTGTAATTTGGGCTTGAGCTGATTGGCAAATATTATAAGCGCAATCTCAAATGGTCGATCAATTTCTCTAAAAAGACAAAGCCGATTGACATGTAACAAGGTTACAGAACTCTACCTTCGTTCATTTTGTAGCTTTGTAGATATTTCTCTCAGTGGAGGGTTATCAACAAGTACATTTGCTACTACATGCACTAACCTTAAAATGAGATCCGCAAATTAATTATGATCATCCAGGCTATTAAGTTAATATTTGTAGGCTTTTATTCTTAAGGGCAGTCATTTCCTTCATCACTTACTCATGAATTTACTTTCAACATTATCTAAACTGTTTGCTTAACAGTAGACGTCAATCACCTCAATTATGCCAAATAGCATACTTTTATGGTTCGATGAAGACAGCATTCTCACTGTTTATTACCTTTGCACCATTTAGTTGGTGATCTTCTGTAGTTTTTGGTTAGGAAATACTAACATGTGACAGATTATAATTTTTATGTTAAATAGTTGGATTATAGCGGATTACAACACGAATCCTCAATAATATCTGTGACAAGATCCCTCAAGTCAGGATAGAGAAAACAGAGATCTTATGATTAAAGTACAATGGAGGGTTTGATAAACAATTGATCAATTATTGATCGGAATTTGATCGATAAGTGACTGCACACACGACCGCACTTGCTCCTTTCATGAGCAGTAACACGTCCGCATCTTCGAGTCTGTCTGAATTCGCATGAGATTTCTTTGATTGTTTTGGCCCCACCCCCACAAGTTCAATTTAATTTACTTTAATGTTTTCAATATTTTTTTTGTCGCCAGATAATATAATTAACCTAAGAAACAACTGCCTTAATATGTGAAGAAATATTTGGTTTGAGTAAAGCCATTTAACGAACTGTTTACTATCCTTTACGAAGCTTAAATATAATATTAAAAAAATTATGATTTGATCATTAATCTCGAGTTGGTTAAATTTTTTGTGTCTTCGCAAATATGTGCATCATATTGTCTCCCTTAAATCCACGCATGATAAATCAGCTTTATACAAAGTTGTTGTAGATATATATATATATATATATATATGGGGTGTGCGATAGACTTGCCTCCACGTGGTGCACCCTGGGCAACGTAAACACATACGGCAAAAAGTCTTTTATTCGGCAGCTGACTTCTGACTTCAAACTACCATGATCCTACTGTATGTCATATTCTATAACTTTCACAGTACTCATCTCGCCCTTTACCTTTGTTTCTGTCTATCTCTTTTACATCTTTGAAACACTCTTCTATTCCCTGTATCTGTCTCTTTTACGTCTTTGAAACGCTCTTCTGTTACTTTGTGTCTGTCTCTTACATCTTTGAAATACTCTTCTGTCCCCCCCTCTCGACTTTTTTTCAATTTGATGTTCCTTCCCTCTGCGAATCCCGAAGTCAGCTAAATGGCTAATGATAACTATTCAAAACGCCTTCCATTTGAAATTATATATGTATATGAATTTAGCCAAACAGCCAAGCTCAAAAGAAAACTTAACGCAAAAAAATCAGATCTTCTTTCGATTACCCATCTCCCCCTTAAATTCAATTTTCTCCCATAATTCTCCATTTTGCGAACTCTTAAAAATTCTCGAAATGTAAATTTTCTCATAATAAAGTCTGTAAAATTCTATCTCCCTTTTTATTGGCATTACTAATAGTTTTCCCTTCATTTTTTTAATTTTCACGAGCCTAGTTAGCCAGAAATTATAGTAAGTCAACGACACAGAAATGAAAATTTATTCTCATTATTGAAGAATAATAAAATCTTTGAAGCTCGTCAAAATTAAGCTAAGTTTTTAATTATAATCTATTTATTTGCCATAATGAAAACATTCGCATTGAATACTAAATGAAGGGGAGCCTTTTATCAAATAAATTTTCTTTTTATAAAGCATATTATTTATTATCATATGAAATATTTCAAGATGTCTAAAGTCAAATTTCAAGGTAAATTTATATTTTTTATGTTTTACTTAAAATGACACAGAAAAATCAATTGCTTTTAAAAGGTTCTTTCCGAAACTTAAAATATGCGTTATTTTCAAAGGAAAAAATGCTAAATTAGCTAATAAAAAGACATTTCAATTTTGATTAAGAGAATGGGATGTAATGGAACTGTGATTTATTGTAATTATGTTAACATGTGAGGTTCCCATTCAGACCCGTTACCTTTTAATTAGCTCAAGCTAGTCTGCTAATGTTCTCATGCCTTAAGTTGTGGATCGTGGATCATGCTATTAATGCGGATGATTAATCAATCCATTTTGAAAAATGGCCCTTAAAAAAGAGTAATCAAACACGCAAGCGTAAAATAAACCAGAGAGTTTAACATAATGGCGATCTATAATTCTCATCCAATACTTTTAATGATAATTACCGAAATGAATCAGAATAAGTTTGTATTTTTAGTCATAGTAATTTGTTTGACATACGAACTGCTTCGAAAAACCAGTGACTACAATTTGAGGTGTTCTAAGAGTTCTGTGTTGGAATTCCTTCAATTCAATATACTTGGTGGTAAAATTGAACAACTACGCTATCAATAAAGGGGTGTGCGATAGACTTACCTCCACGTGGTGCACCCTGGGCAACGTATACTCATACGGCAAAAAAGTCTATTAACCGGCAGTTGACTTCTGACTTTAAACCACAAAGACCCCACTGTATGTCATATTTGACTACTTCCACAGTACTCGCCTCACCTTTGTGTCTGTCTCTTTTACATCTTTGAAACACCCTTCTGCCCCCCCCCTCCCGTTACGACTTTTTGTCACTTTGATGTTCCTCTTCTCTGTGAAGCCTGAAGTCTACTAAAGGGCTGATGATAGCCATCAACACGCCTGCCATATGATATAAATAAATAAGCTATCAATAAATGAAAAATAGAATTACCTTTCAATGAGACTTGTGTTGATTTCCAGTTTAATAATCTTGATACCATTTCAGTGGCTCTATACGTGGGATGTTGAATAATCGTTTACTGTGTTACCTCAATCCTGCCTAACTAACTAGGCTTTAAATAAATTTATTTGGCACCGAGAACTACTAGAGTCCTCGTAAATTTTATATTTAAGGAGTCCATACAGCTAAATCGGCAGCAACGTGGCGCCAATGAAGTCATTTGTGATCTCTAGGTGCTTATGAATTGTTTTTTGGCAATTTAATTTGCAAGAAAAATATTTCTATTGAAAAGTAATCACTAAATTTGCTTATGAGATTATTGTTTAGTTGAGACTGAAAGACTCTTTTAGCTTGCTCAAACAAACAAGATTAAATTCTATTCTCCAATTCCACCAAAGACTCATGGATATCATCAATAATGCATTAGGTTCATGCGCAGTTTTTGCATTTCAACACAAGCAGTTAACCATAACTTGGTAAAACACATTTTCGCCCCCCATAGGGAATTCATTTAAACATTAAAGGAGTGTGCAGAAGCGGTGATTTTCGCTTTCAATTCTCCATTTTAGAAGAGTTAGCATCCATTTTTATTGAGATTTTCTCCAAATAGATTAGCAAAACGATCTAAATGAGCATCACCTTCAAGAAACTTAACCAATTTATCCTTTTGCTGAAAAATTAACCCTCCTTTTAAAAGTATTTTTATATTATAGTGTCGTCATTGAATGCTAAGGTCGTGTAGCCGTCTATGTGGCTAGTGGTAACTGGTTCAATTGCCACCAGCGCACATCCCACTGATAAGGTCTGACTAATCAACGGGAAGTGGGTTTCGATTTCCCTTGACCTGGGGATGTTTTGCCCATCTACTTAGATCAATTTTTCAAAGTATAATTCCTCAATTGAAATTGGAAGACTTTTAGCCTCCATGGTTCAAAATTTTTTCGGGAAATTAAAGGGCACATATGTTTTGGTTTTCACGTGAAATTTATTTAAAAATTAGTTCAAATGCTGATAAAATGATTATTGGATTCATACGTTGAAATCTTAAAACACTTACCATCAAAATTGCAGCCTAAATTTTCAGTACCAAATTCTGATCAAGAGTAGCTGAAACAGTTACAAAACTGAAAACCGTGTTTAAGATCGGGAACTCACTTGTTTTGTATACCAGGACATATTCAAGTGCTCTAGATAGTGATTAATTTAACGATTCAACTATTAGCACACAATATGAAATCCATTTCTCAAGCACGATATGCATTGCTACACCACATGATTTACCTATGCACCGTGTGGTTAAACATCCTGACCAATAACAAACCTCCTTTCACAACTTCTTCCTCATTAGTTAGATGCAATAACCAATCATATCGCAAGCGATTTCGTACTTGCTTTACGCCATACAACAGACATAATTTTAACAATGGCGATGCAAGAATTTTCAGGCCGTCCACATTTGAAATTGGATCATGTACCCTCAGTCCCCGTGGATTTAAAAGAAATGAAGGCAGCACGAATGCCCGTCTCTTCCATTCGTCGAACTGAGGAGCTGATGAATCTGCATACTACGGAATTGGATGAAAGTAGTAGTCGGCTATCTGATAGTATTGGCGAACCAAAGGAAAAAACCGATGAAACAAATACAAGCGAACTTATTCAGGTTTGCTCCTTCATTTCATAATGTTGCATTGCAATTATTTTATCGATTTTTAATTAATGTTATGTACGTGAACGAAGTTCATTTCGTGAAGTGCATGATGGAAGAGTTATGAGAAAGACTTTGCAATTACTTCCAAAATTGCTTTATTTTCTACTGAAACGATAAAGGCTTCAACTCAAGTATAGTAGTTAGGAAACGATTTCGATGTGGAGTAGAGAGCCTTCCATACAGTATTTACCAATATAATGAAAAGGTAAATAGATTCAGATAAGTCTTGAAAGTTGGTGGCCTGAATGGCTCAGTTGTGGTTACGCCTTCTTCTTAAAGCCTTCAGTTCTCAAAAAATTTTGTCAGAATTTATTTATTTATTATAAATGGCAGGCGCTTTGATAATTATCATTAACTCTTTAGTTGATTTTGGGCTTTACATAGGGGAGGAACATCAAAGTGAGAAAATTCGAGAGGGGGTAACAGAAGAGTGTTTAATAGATGTAAGAGTGAGAGAGAGAGACAAACACAAGGCAGAGAAAAAGTAAGGTAAGGCGATTACTGTGGAAGTATTGGAATATGACCTACAGTGGGGTCATGGTAGTTTGAAGTCAGAAGTCAACTGCCGGTTAATAGACTTCTTTGCCGTATGAGTATAAGTTGCCCATTGTGCATCACATGGAGGTAAGTCTATCGCACTCCCCAGTTTGTCAGAATTGGGTTTGGGGTTTATTTTTCAAGGCAACTTGGTAAAAATTCCGATGGATGTTGACTTGTAAAAGAAAAGGCTAGCATTTATTTGCAGTTATGATTCGAATGGGTTTTTTTATAGAATAATGAAAAAAACGTTTGCTTTAATTTCGATTTCGCCAAAGATTTAAACAAAACGTGTGTACTTTCTGGCGTATTTTTTTCATGCTCACGCTAAAATGCGATTTAAGGGGGTTGAATTTATATCGATTGGTATCGCAAGATTTAAGCTTTTTCAAGATGGAGATTTCATACCCCACTCGATGATAAGTGGCAAAAATGAAACGAAATTTCTAGGCCTCTTCTTGCATCTCTGCTAATTAGCAATTAGATTATAACGTGCTGGCACACGCATTTTTTCTGTGACCTCAATTCACACCGCTTGACGGTGATGATTCAGCATTTCTTGACCTAGATCCGCGTAATTTCAGAAGGAAACGACTTAAATTACCTCTAAACAACGTATGGTCACCACGTCTAAGTCGTTGGTGCATCGAATAATGCAACTATTGAAACACACCGACGCTTAGCTTTCAACAACCTATTTTCTAAATTCGATTTGAATGCCATTCTTGATATTTGTTTAAGTGAATGTCAGTGGAAAGTCGATAACATTAAGTTCACTTTTTTAACTATTCTGGCAGTTGCAGAGGTGTTTACTGTAGCATTAAATTGATGTTTTATTTAAATGAATGAAGAGTTTAAATTACTATACAATACGATATCAAGCGTTTGCCTTGCCTGTGTCGACTAGGCATCAAGTTGTTTAAGAAACCACTCATCACACTTATGGCTTTTACCGTCTATGTCTGTTTTATGGACGTGAAATTCCACTTTCCTTTCTTTCGACAGAACGTACGATATGAGTTCATCTGGCAATACTTATTAAAGGTGTCTTGTGTTTAAGGAATCATTTTTTAAAATTCCCCCTGACTAACTACTGGTACATGACGTCTTCGAATTGGGAGCTAGATCCTATCAATTTAAATAAGTTATTATCTACTTGAGAAAATCTACTGTTTCAATATTCAGCTAGTTTGGAAGAAAACAGCAAATTTTATTTACCTTTCGTTTTAATGAATGATCGCTCGCAAAAAATTATTCCGTGATCTACCACAATGTACTATTTGCTGATTGGGTACAATTGATAAATTATACCTTTTTGCTTTGGGTGGTTACGATAGCTTTGTTTAACGTATATCGGCTTACTGTCACGTCATTTAATTCAATAGTGCTCTTAGTACAATTTTGGCGTCATCTGATAAGTTTGTCATTTCGATAAAACAAAAGAGAAAAGTTAAATTGGACATTCTAAAATGTAATACAAATTACTCCGAAAGTGATTCGTGTTTGCGATTATGAAAATTAGTACCCTTGTCATGGTAAGAATATGAATTAATTAAAGCATTTCTGATTTAGTAATTAATATGCATGAGTAACGTGAAATAGTCCATGCGAGGATTTGAATCAAATCATTCCACCAAGGTAAAAGGTTTGTATGCCTTTGTTCGGGGATAATCATTGTCCATTTGTCATATATTGTTGTTTGACAGTCCTTTGTCCACATCGGATACAAATTTGTACCAATTTTCATTTTTGCCGAGTAGCGACTATAAACTCCAGAATGTTAAGGAAGGTCATTCGCTTTCTCAATTAATCAATGGATAAAGCAAAATGAAGAGACAAGCCTGACTCATCGAAATGAGGTAGCATCGATTGGAAAAGCTATACTCAGTTATAAATTTGAATTTTGGAATGTAAAATTCCCAATTAAATAAAAGCATACAAGTGGAGTCTTTCAACCTTTTTCGATCCTCACCCCATTTCGGTTCTTGGACATACAATTAGTCACTGTTAGTTATTTCCAACAGTTCGCTGTGAGCATGTTTGTACTAATATTGTTAATACTAATAATTGTTGTCTAAAAGTTAAATTTTAGTTCAATGACATGTTAGTTCACTTGATAAAAAAGGATTTCATTGTTAATTCAATATGGTGATATTGGGCATAAAATACACAGGAGGAATTTAAAATTTTGTTCTACATGGTTTCATTTTGAACTGTCGCGTCAAGGTCATCAAGATTTGATTGGTTATTGTTCACGATTTAAAATGTGCAAATTGTTTACAAAAAAACCGATGCCGACTTGCAGAGTTGTCATGCCCTTGAAAATTAGTATGAAGTAGTAATCTTGAATGCGGCCAACAATCGATATTGTAAAAAAACACCTATTTTCGTGGTAAGGGCGCCTAGAATCACGATAATTCCCAAAAAATTTTCAAGTTTCACTTATATGCTAAGAAAGTCAATTTATTGTAATTTAGAGAATACTTTAATGCGTTTAAGGATAATTAAAACATGATTATGTGAGTATTTAAATTTCATTTCATTTAATTGCTCGGGGGGCGGTCTATGCTTCGGTGAAAATTTATGTTATAAAACTCTGGGCTATAATTAGCATCGTTCTTTACAGAATTCCTCAATTGATTTGATTTTTAGCATTACTTTGCACTTTAGAGCTTGGCATGGATGGTAATTTAACGGAAATTGCAAATAATATCGATTTTTTAATGCCAAGGATTATATTTAATTGCATTTTCCTGCTTATGCTTCATAAATCAGTTTCAATTATTCAGATTATTAAATGAGGTGCTTAATTAAGTTAATAGCGCTTAATAGGGTAGTCGGCGCCGTAACTTCAATTTAACTAGTTAAATGGGGTGTGAGTTACTAAGCAGCAACTAAGAAACGTAGATTTACTTAGTTTGTCTTTGCTCGAAGTTAATTTAATACGAGTTTCTCATGTATTAGTCACATAATTTTTAGACATCTAAAATTCAATTGTATTGAAACTTTTATCAAAACAAGCAAAACAAATTTGATTTGTCTTTGACTGAATTAGCGCTTTTCGAGTCGGTATTTATTCCTTTTTTCCGAACTGAGATTATATTTTTTAACTTGGTGCATGAGACCCTAGCAACTCTCCTTCTTATAAGGATGGATGTTACAGGAGGATACTTGTCAAGAATTTCCTTTAACTGTCAAAACTTCAATGTTGCTACCTATCAAAGGAGCACTTACATGCCGCCTTTAACATACTGAAGGGTTAGATTTGAGAAACCATAAAATGTGTCTTAACTTATCAATCTTTCTGGACACATAAACATCATTTAAAATGATATTGCAAATATATATCATTTTAAAAATCCATAAAAATTTATATTAGCTTTTAATATGTAAAATAAATATATGGTACTGATATATGGACACCAATATCATCATGCATCTTCGCAAAGAAAACAAACTTTAATCACAATGACGCTTCACTACAAGAATAGCAGGAGAGCTCAATTAAATAAAGAATAGTAAAACAAAACGAGATTCCAGTACCAAGAGGGACATGCTCAAACTGATTTCTAATTTTCGTCGACTTTAAGTATTCAAGGCGCCTTCAATGCCGTATGTTTTAATATTTTGATGTATTTATAACCAAATGTGGAGTTGTTTAGAAGTTGCAAGCTATCAGATCGGCAATCGTCAGTCAACCCAACATATTCACAAATTGTGTGACTAATTCCTCACTAATTCCTTCTTCAGAGTAGGAAAAATAGATTTGAATCAATATAAAATAAATATGAAATAACAAAACACATCTGGCTTATTTCGGCATTACTAATTGCATTTAAATTTCAATATCGCACGGGTTGATAATATCTAACGCATGATTTATGTTCACCAATTCCATCTTTGACGTCTGCCATCAATCTTAACCTTGAACTTATGACTATATATACTGGATTTAAACAATAATTAGGTTGTGCTAATATGCCGAAGGTCTAATACAGATTTCCCTTCTCCATTAAACTATTGACTACCGACTAGTATTTCTGAATTTTAGATTAATAATAGGATAAAAAGTGCTCAAAAACTTCATTGTTTCCATATTTTTATTAAAATTAATTACTTTCCACATAGAGTACGTCTCCCTTGAGATCATCACTATTATTATGAGGTTTTTTCAAATGGCAGGCTTTATGATATTTATCATTAGTTCCTTAGTTGACTTCAGCTTTCCCCATGGGTGGGGGCGTACATTTATAGCAGTTAATTAATAGGAATTCATTAGCTGTCTTCTTGCTTCCGAGGATCTCTGGCTTTCCGTTGTTGTCTTTAGGGCTGGACACTGAATCAGGTGGGTCTTCTGCATTTCCTCTTGTAGGTCACATAGGGGGACATGTGGGTTGAGTGTATACTCCCAATCTGTGAAGGTGTTCTGGTACGTA